TTCATTGCAGTCTTCTAGGCACTGAAAACGGTTTTGTAACTCGAGCTGAAAGGTTTCGGGACTTTGGAACAGAGCATGAGGGGGACGGAGCGTTGACTTCATTAGACGATACCTCTTCAACTTAACGTTTAGGTTCAGTGTGCCTTTAACCATTCGGTGATCGCTACCAGTTTTCACCCTCGCGATCACGGAGACATCACTGAACAGTTGTCGTCTGGTCGTCATAATGAAGTCAATCTCATTTTTTGTCGAACCGTCGGGGCTCGACCAGGTCCACTTCCTGTGGGACCGCTTCTGGAAGAAAGAGTTCATCATAAAGAGTCCCTCTTTCTCCATGAAGTCGGCCAGCTGCTGGCCCCTTGGGTTCCGTTGCCGGATTCCAAATTTCCCTACTTTCAGCTCACCGTTCTCTCTTGTGCCTAGTTTTGCATTGAAATCTCCCATTAACACCGTATATTGGGTTTTGGAGGAATGCATGGCTCTAGAGATATCCTCATACATTTCCTCCACCTCCCAATCGGGGTGTGCCGAGGTTGGTGCGTTAACCTGTATGACCTTCAGCGAATACCGTTTGGTGATTCTGAGTATAAGGTACGCAACCCTCGTCGACACACTCCCGATCTTTACAACGTTGTTAACGAGAGACTTGTGGACGATAAATCCGACACCTCCTTGGGACAGATGGTCGCCCTCCCGGTGATAGAGCAAGTTGGATAATTCATTATTTATAGCTGACTACTCAGTTATAAATAATGAATTATCCAAGGTGCCATGGGACTAAATGTTCTTAGGTAAATCAGCCGAAGTAGCTGTGATGACTTTTTATGAAATACTCTATGGCTTTATCAAGAAGTTCGTACCAACAAAAATTGTAAAACGTTCTTCATTTCCTGTTTGGTTTAACGCCACTCTGATTCATACTTTTAAACGCAAAGAGCGTTTCTGGATCAAGTGGAAAAAATATGAAAACGCTTATCATTATAATGAATTCTCTAGGCTTAGAAAGTACTTTAATAAAGAGTGCGCAATTCGTTATAAAAACTACATGTCGTCAATTCAAGATAACATTTAAAAAAAATATAAAGCATTTCTGGACATATATATCAAAGCGTAAAAATACTGCTAGTATTCCTGACAATGTTTATTATAATGATAATATTGCAACTAATCCTACAGAAGTATGTAACCTATTTTCAACTTTTTTTCACTCAATTTTTGAAGCATCTTCTGTTTCAGCAGAGTATGATATTGATAGTATCGATCTTAGACAAAGCCCTGATTCACACATTAATTTAACATGTATTACATTATAAGAGGATGAAGTACTTAAAGAGCTACAAGCTTTAAATACAACCAAGGGAATGGGGCCTGATAATATATCACCAGTATTTCTGAAAAATATAGCAGTTAATATTGTTAAACCACTATGTTTCCTTTTTAATAAGTGTCTAGTTGAAGGAGTATGTCCTGACGTATGGAAAGCCGCTAGAATTGTGCCTGTACATAAGAGTGGTTCGAAACGAAATGTTGAGAACTACCGTCCTATTTCCATTTTGTCAGCCATGTCGAAGCTCTTCGAACGATTAATTTTCAACTGTATATATCCATTACTGCATAACTTAATTATACCCGAACAACACGGTTTTGTAAGGCGACGTTCAACTACTACAAATTTATTAGTATATCTAACGGACTTATTTGAAAACTTAGATTCAAATTATCAAACTGACTGTATTTACACAGACTTTCGTAAGGCCTTCGACAGAGTTGATCACAAAATTCTACTTGATAAAATTGCTTTTAACGGTATACGTGGCAATCTTTGGCGATGGTTTAAATCATACGTAATTAACTGTACGCAAAGGGTTGTTATTAATGGTTACGAATCAGAGTATGTTCCTGTCACCTCTGGGGTACCACAAGGTTTTATATTGGGACCGCTATTATTTATACTTTTTATTAATGATATTAACTCGTGTTTTCAGCACAGTAATTTTTTATTATACGCGGATGACCTTAAAATTTATCGTACCATTTGTGACAATGAGGATCACTTCAGACTTCAGGATGACTTGGACCGCTTTTCTGCTTATTGTTTAAAAAATAAATTAAGTCTTAGTATTATTAAGTGCAAAATGTTAACTGTTACTAAGAAAATTAATTTTAATCAACAATCATATTCTTTGTGCAACTCTACTCTTGAAAAAGTACATTCTGTTTGTGACCTCGGCGTTACTATTGATAGTAAATTAACACTTGATACACATGTTGAACAAATATGTAATAAAGCTTTTAAAATGTTTGGGTTTGTAATGAGATCCTGTAAGGATTTCACCAACCCAGCAACATATATCTTTTTGTATAAGGCATTGATACGCTCTCAGTTGGAATACGCAGTTGCTTTGTGGAATCCTTTCTATAATGTCTATACCGACCATATTGAGAGAGTACAAAAAAAGTTTTTTAAGTCAATGTACTATAGATGTAAGCATAAATATTGTTCCTATAATATAATTTTAAATAAATACAAAATGTTAAGTTTAAAGCGCAGACGACAACAATTAGCAGCAATGTTGTTATTTGACCTTTGTAATGATAGATATGATTGCATTCCTGTAACAAAAAAATTGCAATTTCGTGTACCTACTAGGTCACATGTAAGATCAACATGCTCATGTCAAACATTTGCCCTTCCTTTATGTAGAACCAATGCTGGCAAAAGAGCGCCATTATATCGTTTAATGCAAAATTATAATGATCACTTTTGTGACATTGACATTTTTAATAATCGTGCAAATTCCTTTAGAAACAAAGTGATTAATAAGCTTATGAGTCTTACAAACTAAAGAAAGGAAAAGGAAAAAATCAAAACTCAATCATAATACAATTGAATTATATAATTGTTTTGAAATCAAACCTAAAATTTTAAGTTTATTATTATTTTTTTTTTTTGTTTATTGCTAGATTTTAATTTTTGTTTTTTAAATAGTTCGATAATGCTGATCTCTTGTCTACTTAAATTAGAGTTTAAGTTAATGTAATGTCTAATGTATTTTTGTAATATTACTTATGTACTAAGTCTTCCTTCACATCTCTCATTTTTGTAATTTTATCTGTTAAAATTATTATCAGAGTCTGGTGGTGTTGGCTTCACTAAATTTAAATTTTAGGATTAAGATTTGTTATTAATCCTCTGTTGAAGTTGTTTACTGGTCCTTAAATTAAAAAAAAACTGTAATAGACAACGAAGTGGAACGGTTAGTACCAACATAACAGCAAAGATTAACGGACTCTACAGCTCTGGGTTCTAGCCCTTCTGAGCCTAACTTAACAGCAAAGACAAGCAAAAGACAAAGAGTATATAATCACTAAGTTTAAGGTTGGGTTCAAAAACTAATATACATTCTGTTCTTATTCCAAAAATTAACGTTCCGTTTTACCACAAGATGTCTACTCAACTATCATCAGAGATGTCACTGTTGCTAGAAAAAATGAAAGAACAACTTAATCTGCAAACAATTACGATAACAGAAAACATTACAACAACAGTACTAAAAAAAGTTGATGAAAAAATTAAACCAATCATTGAAGAAAACAAGAAATTGAAAAGCGAAATTGAAAAACTTAATAGAAAAATAGAAATCCTGGAAACAAATGAAAAAAGAAACAATTTAATAATTCACGGGCTCCCAGAACAAAAAAACGAGACTCAAGAAGACTTAAAAACGTTCGTAACTACTACTATGAAGGAAATAGATGTCGTACTAAAAGATGAAGATATAAATAGAATTCAAAGACTGGAAAAACGTGATACAGATGCAGGTAAAATCAGGCCGATTCTACTTGCTACAACAACCCTTCAAAAGAAGATTCAAATTCTCAAAAATAAGAAGAACATGAAATCCAATACCTACATTACGCAGGATCTGTCAAAAGTAGCTTTGCTTAAAAAGAAGGAAAAAAGAAATATAGATAGGAAAGAAAATGAAAGAAGAAGAAGAAGGAGATCTGAAACCCCTAGCCCAAAACCTAGTAATGAGAAAATAAAAAATGATGATCCTAAAGTTAGGAAACGGGATGCCTTTCAGTACTTACGTGAGAGATCACACTCACTTTCAGACAAACACTCATACACAAACGAAGATACAGGCACCACAAACCGGACAACTACAACAAAATAAACAACAACAAGCTAACAGTCTCCCATCACGGCTGGTCCCCGCGGGAGTACTAGACCACTACCTTTCAACTAAAAGATGTGAGGTACTTCATATCGCAACACTAAACACGAGAACCCTTAGAACTCACGAAAGTTTGCTAGAATTAGAAAAATCATTAGAAAACATAAAATACGACATACTAGGTATATGTGAAATGCGAAGACTGGGAGAAAAAATAGAAGAGCACGGCAGCTACATACTGTACCATAAAGGAGAAACTGCTGGTTGTAGAGGAGTTGTTTTTTTAATAAAACAGTCACACAGAACATGTATACAAGAATTGATAGGAATATCTGATAGATTAGCAATACTAAATGTAAAACTACCAGGATATAAGAAACCTTGGTCTATCATACAGGCATATGCGCCCACTGAAAACTCAGACCTATCAGTGCTCGAAGCTTTCTATTATGAGATATCTTTAGCTATAAAAAACAACACCGACAAACATATAATCTTAATGGGGGATTTCAATGCACAAATTGGGGCTAGACAAAACAATAGTGAGTACGTACTTGGCAAGTTCGGACATGGAAAAAGAAGTCGCAACGGGCAGAAACCAGTTGAATTTCTAATGGAGCATAACCTATCAGCATTAAATACTAACTATAATAAGAACAAATATAATAAATGGACATGGATTTCCCCGGATGGTTCCCAAGAGCTTTCACCGACACTACTGTTATAAGCAATTTGAACTTTAACACAAACCATCGTATGGTACGCTGCTCTCTTAGAAAATTCCAAACAAAAATATCTCGCAATTATATTAAAAACAATATGATTAAATTGCCAAGTCAACCTTGCCTGATGAAGTGCAACCCGTTCAAAGAAACAAACGAACATATAACAAGCGATGAAATAGAAACAACACTGAAATATGATATACAAGAAAACGAATTACAAAGCTTGTATATCTCAAAAAATAACGCACACAAACCTAATAAGTATCAACTAAGTGAGCATACCTTACAACTAATCGGAAAAAGAAAGGAGCTTATAGCTATCCAAGCAAAAAAAGAAAATATAAAGCTGGTTGCAGATTTAAGCAAAAGAATAAGAGAAAGTATACGCAAAGATCGCAAGGTCAAGAGGTTGAAAACATTCGAGCACTACATACAAAAAAAGGGGGGTGTGAAAAAAGCTCTGAAAGAACTGCGAGAAGTAGGCAAAGAATGGATACCCAAACTAAAGGATAAGTCGAATACTACCACGATACGACAGAATATCAAAGATCTAGCCACAAGTTTCTACCGTCAACTGTATGCTAGACAGCACCAAATTACAATAGGTCACCACAGAAGAGTGCTCACTCAACATATTGATGAAGGGAAATCAGAGCCTGTGCCGGACATCCTATTGTGTGAAGTCGAAAAGGCAATTAAGAGTCAAAAGATGGAGAAGTCCCCGGGACCAGACAAAATTACCAACGAACTTATGAGGGGAAATATAGAAGAACTGACTCCAATTCTTACAAAGATTTTTAACGAAATCTTAACAAGTCGGCAAATTCCAAAACAATGGACTAAATTTCACGTAATTCTACTATACAAAAAAGGCAATAAGGAAAACATAGAAAACTATAGACCGATAAGCCTTATGTCAAACGTATACAAAGTTTTTGCAAAAGTAATGCTAGACAGAATTAGCAAACTGTTAGATGAACAACAGCCAGTCGAACAAGCAGGTTTTAGGAAAGGATTTTCAACAATTGACCATATCCATACGATCAAACAGGTACTAGAAAAATATAACGAATACAATAAAAACATTTATGTAGCTTTTATTGACTATGCCAAAGCCTTCGACAGCTTAAACCATGAATACATATGGGAAAGTCTAAATCAACAAGGAATACCAAGCGTGTATACTAAAATAATAAAGAACATCTACGCAGACAGTAAGGCCAGAATCCAGTTAGAAACTTTGGGGGATGAATTTAGCATACAAAGAGGTGTGAGGCAGGGAGACCCTTTATCCCCAAAATTGTTCTCTGCTGTGTTAGAAAATATCTTCCGCAACCTATACTGGGATAAGTATGGCATCAATATAAACGGGTCACAACTACATCATTTAAGATTTGCCGACGACCTAGTATTAATTGAAGAACGTCCCGAAAATCTCGAGTATATGATAAATAACTTAAATGAAGAAAGCATAAAAGCTGGACTAAAAATGAACACTAACAAGACCAAAATAATGACAAACAGCACAAAATCTAACATCACAATAAACGGCGATTCTCTAGAATATGTGAAAGATTACATATACCTGGGTCAAGTAATTTCCATAGAAGATCAAATGCCGAAAGAAATTAATCTCAGGATCGCAACAGGTTGGAAGAAATACTGGTCATTAAAAGAGATCGTGAAGTCCAAAGACTTAAACATGTCAATAAAAAGAAAAACATTTAATACTTGCATTTTACCTTGTCTAACATACGGATGCGAAACCTGGACCCTCACAAAAGCATTAAGAGAAAAACTTGCAGTAGCACAGAGAACAATGGAGAGGAGTATGACCGGCTATAAAAGACAGGATAAGATCAGAAATATTGACCTAAGGAATTTAACAAAACTTACCGACATACTCGAACGAATCGATCAACAGAAGTGGAGATGGTCAGGACATATGATGCGTGACAAAATGGGAAAGTGGAGCAGGAGAGTAACAGAATGGTATCCAAGAGACAGTAAAAGAAGACGAGGAAGGCAGCACACAAGGTGGGAAGATGAAATAAGACTTACAGCAGGACCAAACTGGAGAAGAGTTGCTCGAGATAGACAACAATGGAAATCGTTGGAGGAGGCCTTTGCCAATAGGCACGCCGAACTAAGAGACATTTTGTAGTTAGTAGATTATTTTATTTTAGTTATAATGTTAAATGTTATTAGATCGGAATAAAGGGCTTTATTATTATTATTATTATTATAGATAAGAATAGATAATACTTTCAAATACTTTTGAGAAAATAGATAGAATTGATATTGGTCTATAATTTTTTATGTCTCGCTTAGAGCCATCCTTATGAATTGGCACAATTTTAGTTTCTTTCCAACGTGCTGGAAAGATACCTGATTTTAGAGACTTATTAAATATTATGGTAAGGGGGCCTGACAATTGTTTAGCGCAATTGATAATGAAAACTGGTGGTATGTCATCGGATCCCGGTCCCTTGCATAAAACAAGTCTTTTTTTGATGAAGACTTCTAATTTATTTAGTTTTAAATGATTTAAGGTATTCAACTGCTCTTCAGTATTTTTTATGTTACAGTTATACACATTAGTAGATGATGCAGCATTATGGTAAATTGATGAAAAATTTTTTGCAAACAACTCACTAATCTTTACATTATCCTCAGCTAACTCATTTTCCAGAAACATAGATGATAAAGTATTACTTCTATTTTTACGTTTTTTTTTAAAAAGGTCCAAAAGTATTTTGGGTTTTGCGAGATGGTGCTTTCTATTCTGTTACAGTAGTTATTATAACTTAAAGATAATAATTTTTCACTTCTATTTTTAAGTATTTCATAACTGATATTATCTAAAGGATTATGATATTTTTTGTAACGAAGACGTATTTTATTTTTTTCTTTTAGAATTTTGATGAGATCTCCGTGGAACCATGCCGGATAACCATTGTATTTAGGTTTAGTCAGGGGAACATGAGCCGTAATAACTTTGCGTAAGGTTGCGTAAAAAACGTTAACCATTTCATTGACATTATCATGGTGCAGAAGCAACGATAACCAATTAATTTTTTGCAGTTCATCGATTATAGAACTGTAATCTGCCTTAAAATAGTTAAACCGTGGTATTCGGCATGGGTGTAAATTTTGATACGTGAACTCCAATGGAGGGTGGTATAAATCGACTCTGACTAAAGGATTGCCACTATCCTCGAGGTAAATATCTGAAAATGTAGAAAGCACGAGATCAAGTGTTTTAGCGTTTTTGTTTTGTACATGATTATATTGTTTCAAATTATTCAAAGCTAAAAATTCGCAAATAAAATTATAGGAAGAACAATGTGAATTTATGGGATTCAAAAAACAGCCATTGTCACTCTTAGACCATTTTATATTTGGCATATTAAAATCCCCAACCAGAAGAGCATCCGAATGTTCAGATATAATATTACTGGAACTTTCTAGAAACTGTTCCAAGTCTGTCTGATTTATAGGTGGTGGAAGATAAATTATACCAACACAAATATTAATATAATGTTTGCCTCTCTTGAATTGAATAGTAAGCCATAATTCTTCTAATTTACTCATAGTTTCTATTTTATATGATTGAAAATGTTTACGTACTGCTATCGCTACTCCCCCTCCAGTTTTTTTACAGGATAATGCATTAATATTACGATCTCTCCTATACACAACATATCGTTCATCGAACAACTCTGAATTTAGTATGTTAGACTGCAACCAAGATTCCGTAACAAAAATAATGTCATAATCGTTCAGCAACACATGATTATAAAATTCTACTATTTTAGTATTGAGACCTCTTACGTTTTGATAGTAACAATTTATAGACTTCATAGCCATTATAACAAATAGTATGAATTTATTCACACTAATCTTACACTATATGCAACAACTAAAGCTAAAGTTATATTTTGTTCAGCGATTCAATATTTTTAATGAAAACTGCAGGGGCGTTCTCAGATTGTCTAATAAATATGCAACCACGACACAACATAAACGCATCATACTAATAGTAATCTATATCTATATACCTAGTCAGGTCATAAATTCTGTCACATGTTTAATACAAAATAATTGAAACAAGTTTATTCATTATGTAACCATTCATATACGTATGAACTTAACAAAACATAGATTCTTATGACACTAAAGTTTATTCAATATGACCTCCGTGATTTTGAATACAGGCCTTCAATCTGCGTGGCCAGTCATCTATCGCAGCATGAACGAGATCCATGTCAATATCGGCGGCTGCCTTAATCAAGGATGTCTTGAGTGACTCCAAATTGGGATGAGGCTTTGAGCATATCTTGTAATCTAACGGATTCAAATCTGGACTGGAGGAGGGCCAGTCTTCGTGCCGGATGAAGTCGATTTCACGCACCGCCAGCCAGTCTTGTGTGCTCTTCGCTCTATGAGCTGGCGCCGAATCTTGTTGGAATACCCAGTGCCTGTTATTGAACATGGTATCAGAAACAGGTTCCACAAGGTTCGTCAGGACTGTATTTTGATACACAACTGCATTCGTTTTTACATCTTTCTCACAAAAATGTACCTCTGTTAAGCCCCAATAAGAAACTCCCAACCATACCATGAGCGAGGATGGAAAATGACCTCGTTGGACACGCGAAATACGGTTGCTCGCTTCTTCACTACTGTGTGCGTACACCTTATCATTTTGTTTGTTGTAGCTCCCTTCTACGGTAAAAATTATTTCATCCGAAAAAAGAATTTGCCGATTTTTTTTCCCGCGTACCGTTTCAACAAAGCGCGGCATCTCTTCAGTCTCAGGTCCATTAGACGAGCATTCAAACGATGTCCTGTTTTTCTTCGATATGCCCGAAGCCCTAAGTTTTCATTTAACACCCTTTTCACCGTGGTTCTGCTTAACCCCATCTGAAGGGCCAACAGTTTCTGCTTACGTTTGGGATTTCTTTGAATTTGCGCCTTCACAGCTTTTATCACTGCTGGAGTCCTAATAGACCAAGGGCGACCATTTCTTGACCTGTCATCTACACTAGAGTCTTCATTGTATCGTTTGATGGTACGATAAACGAATCTTTTGGTTATATTCAAATTTTTCAGTATGTCAAAAATTTGAATTGGCGCGTAACCGCAACGATGTATATATATATATATATATATATATATATATATATATAATAAATCTGTAGAAAAGTCGTGTCTGTAATTCTAATATATTCTTAAAAAAACAAGTCCAGGGTACTAAGTAAAGGGTTCCGAATTCTAATTAGTGCTTTATAGAATCTTTGTATATCTGTATGTGTGTCTGTGTGTGTATTATTAGTAGTTAGTAATCCAGTCCAACTTAAAGGCTACTTTTTATCCGATTACGGAACTTCAAAAAAGAAGATTAAGTATTTTCCTTCCTTTAGATGTTAATTTTCTGTAGGCGGGGTGACCAGTGTTTTTAAAATAAATACATAAAGATAAAGACATAAAGACATTTTTTCCAACACTTACATCTTCTAAACACATGACAAATTACAATTAAAAATAAAAGAAGTAACTTATAAACAGAGCGAGCCAGTATTTTTTTTAATCTGTATTCTATACCTCAAGCGAGATGTGCCGTAGTATGCAGAGGCCCTACGTCTTACTAAAATGTTATACATACATATATATATATACTACCTGGCCAGGCAGACGTCGTACTGCGCTCCTCCGAATTTGTCCTATAAAAATCCTTAAATTACCAATAAAAATATTGAGGGTCACTTATCGGGATAAGAACTATCCTATCTCTCAAGTTGGACCAAACTGCACACAGTATGCAAAATTTCATTGTAATCAGTTCAGTAGTTTAAGAGTTCATCGCGGACAAACAATGTAACACGTAATTCACCCACTTGTTTGTGCAGTATAAAGTTCACTGTAGGTGCCGTGCACGAGAGATTCCGCTTAAGTCATTCAACGAGTGTGGTCATTCTACTAGAGCTAAGATACTGTCCTGGTTCTGTTCGTTGTTGTAATTCTTCTAGTGCAGGCAAGAAGGATTGGTGTTGCTGAGAGGCTGCCCTGTGTTACATTGAGATAAGTAGTGTTGCTGTTGGTTTACATATTTTGGTGCTATCATGTAATTACGTACCTCACGTTACACTGGTGTGTGATTGTGGCGGAGACGTGTTACGGTGTGGTCAAACTGTAATCTCACTATGCTAAATGTAGTATAGTGCGTTACGTTGTCTTATTACTGATTATGATTAAACTGCGTAAGCAAGAGAGCAAGTTGAACATCCACTCTCACACTTTTTTTATTTTTTAAAATTAACGCTATCGTGTTGTATTTCCGAGATCAAAATTGCGATCCTCTGTTGTAATCTCCGACAAATATATATAGAGATTAATAATAAATACAGAGTAACAGGTACATATTAGATATACATTAAATAAATACTTAGTAATCGGTAAATTATCATTAAAGGTATTTTATGATTAGAAATACTACATAGGTAATTCTTAAATAAAGCATGTTCAAACATTTATATTTCCCTTCTGTTCGTTTAATAAAAATTTCTTTAAGTGTATTTTAAAATTCCCTATTGTCTTTAGATTACGTAGTGGTGGAGGTATGTTATTCCAGCAGTGAGTGGCTGTATATTTGTAACCACCTCTGAAGGCCGCTGAGCTATGTCAAGGGACACTTAATATGCGATGAGAAACACGCGTCAGATACTTATTGTGTTCACGACACCAGTCTAGTTTTTCTACGTGGTAGAGCCATGCTGCAGCTATATTATGGTTGTAGCACGAATGGATCGGCTCGACCGGGGAAGGACCACGCTCTCACAGAAAACCAGCGTAAAATAGCAGCTTAACGTTGCTGTGTTACGTATGGTGAGTGTAGAGAACCGGAGACCCTTTCTACTGGCAAAGAGGCCTCCCACCTTAGTTGTCACGGGTGACAACGGATCTGCATCTTGAGTCTTTATTGAAGATAGATGTAGATGTCTATGGGTAATAGTAACCATTTACCATCAGGTGGACTGTGTGCTCGTTTGTCACCCGATCCCATAAAAAAAATTAAAAAAAAGTTTAGAGTACAGATACTTTGGATTTTTTGTTTTCAAAACACCAAATAGAGCTCAAGCAAAGTGGAGTTTGCGTCTTGCG